TTTATTTTATATTTTGTTAGTATCAGTCTTGAGCTCTGAGGTTGTTCTTCACACTCAATTAGTCTCCATGTTGGCATTCCACTGCATACATCAATTATCCACCAGTTTTGTATTGAATGCCTTGTCCAGTTCAGTTCTTATTCATTCTGTCTCTGTGTCTGAGGCTTCTGTCTCTCTATTTTTCTCTATGCTTTTCTTTTTGAAAAATGCTGGGTTTCATCTCCATTATAGAAATGCAAAGGGTTCACACTCATCAAGGGTTCATACAGAAATCATGGGAAAGATTAACTATTTCAGAGCAGAATGGCAAACTATATTAGTATGTAAAATAAATAAATACATACAATTGAAAAAAATATCATTATGTAGAATGTTTTGTATAAATAATAATATATAAAATTATAAATAATAATAAATGAAAATGTTGTGATTATTTACTCATGTTCTTCCTCATAGCTTTCTATCATGTAACACAGGGTGGTTTTTTTGAAGAATATTCTGGCCATACATTTCAAATTATAATGAAAATAAGTGAGCACTTGCATGGGTTTAAAAATGACACACACACACAGAACCAAGCATCATAAAGGTGGTCAATACTGCTTATGCACTATATTCCAGCTCTTCTAAAGCAATACAATAGCTTTGAATAAGAAACAGACAGACTTCTCATTATTCAGTAGGAATTTTGAGAATTTATGAGTGAAGTAGCAATGTCAATTCATGAACAAATCTTTGTTTTGAGTCAGTTTTTTTTTAAGAATATTCTGGCCATACATTTCAAATTATAATGAAAATAAGTGAGCACTTGCATGGGTTTAAAAATGACACACACACACACACACACACACACACAGAACCAAGCATCATAAAGGTGGTCAATACTGCTTATGCACTATATTCCAGCTCTTCTAAAGCAATACAATAGCTTTGAATAAGAAACAGACAGACTTCTCATTATTCAGTAGGAATTTTGAGAATTTATGAGTGAAGTAGCAATGTCAATTCATGAACAAATCTTTGTTTTGAGTCAGATCTGTTCAGTGAATCAGTTGATTAATTTCACATAATGGTCTGAATGATTCATTCACAAATCAAACTGATCCGATTTGCAAGTAAAACTCACAAACTAGATGATTATCAGACTAATGACTTTAAATTTTGCTTTAAAATTGAAAAACTCTCATCTGCTCCTCACTAGGCTATAGTGCATGAGTATTAATCCCCTTTATGATACTTCTATGGTGCTTTACATCTTTTGAAGCTTGAAAGGCTCTGGTCCTTTTTCAAACATTCACCGTCTGTGTTCCACATAAGAAAGTAAGTCATACAGGTTTGAAAAGACATTAGGATGGGTAAAAGACACATTTATATATAATATATAATTATATAAGACCGAGTGTTAATGCTCATACTGCGGTTACTGGAGCAAATATGAATTTGCTATTGATGACTGCAGGGGAGAGGTAGAAGAATTTTACAGTAGATGCTGTTTATCAGTAACTAAATTATTTTTGTAATTATTGGATATAAAATATTTTAATTTATTTTACAATGAGCAAAATACTTTGCCTTTCTTTTGTATTTGCTAAACATGGGATAAAACAAGGTACTTAATGAGCTGACCATTATGTCATAATGATAAACCCCTGTACAGATATCACCTCAAAGTGCATGTGAATTTACCTAGATGACCTGTGACTTACTGCTCTTAGGATGAACTTTAAGGAAATGAAGAAATTCGGAAATGAGAGAATGAGTGTGTGTGAGAGAGGCTGTGTGCTGCAGTGCAAGGACAGGCAAGCTTTTGGCTCTTACTCATGAATGAGCAATATAGATGCCTGAAGCTTCAGTTTCAGGTGCAGATAAAAATATATATATATATTGCATGACATTGCCTTTACCCATTTAAGAAACAGATTTCAGCATGGAAAAACCTCTTGACGCACACACAATACCAATATAATTGGTGAAATCCATTGTCATATGGCCATTACCGCTATTAAACAAATTATGCCCTGAACCTTGGCAACATGGATCAAGGTAAACTGCACAGTACCATTAAGCAGCTTGTCCCAATGACAATACTGTTAAACACTGGTTTATGGGCCACTGTTGCAGAAAATCTCACTTCAGACAGGATGAGCTTATGTTTCTGTAAGTAGGCGGCCACAATTTACATTTGCAATGGCCCGGCCGGGCATGTTCAGGCTAGAAAAGCATTTTTAACCATTATCATAGTCACGTCTGATGAGAGGTTTGGATTAATAGCTTTGATTAATAAAATAGCTTTGACCAAGGAGGATTTATTCAATATCATTTTACCTCATTCTTGCTAAAACACTACATGCGTGTGAGCCATATGCTACATGGATCAGTGTGCAATGACAATGGCAGATTAATCTCAGACTTACTGTAAACTGGGGTTTTTATCTTCACTCAATTCCAGTCTAATGTAGTTTCTGAGAAATAAAAGGCATTGTTGTCTTACATAGAACTGTTGATTTTATATTGCAGTTTAACATGCTCATGTGCCTACAGTATAGTGAGCTTTGGACTAAAGGATTTGATGGTAAAACAAGCAGGGCATATATAATTATATGCAATAAATATTTAAAAAATGAACTGATGAATATGGTTGGTGGCTGTAGACAGCTGTCCGACATGAATGATTAATTCAGTGCCCAGGTAATGTCTTCATATCCAGCATATAGCAAGTCACATTTAAACATTCAGATGGCTCAACATCTGTTCTGGGAGAGTATTAGCACACTGCAGACTTTAATTAAATAAGCATGGGGTATCTAAAATATGCCATGCAAATAATCCGTCAATTTTGATATCCCAACTAAAACACACTTCTCATTCTCTTCAGTTTTAATAGCCTACACAAACTTGCTTGTGCAAATTTTATGTACTGTATAATTGTCAGCATTTTTAATTGTCCATGTAAAATATATAAATTGTGAGGTTTTCAAGGACCGTTAGTTGTAAGACAAAGGTATTAAGAATATTCAGCTCATTTGATTAGGTCTTTTGGCTCACAACGCTGCCTCTATTGAAGTAAGAAATTGAAAAAATTAAAAACAAGCCTTAAGAGACTGAACTTCAACTAACAGGTGCCTCAATTATAATTAGGTGAGTGCTATAAATAATTTAGTGTTTAAATGCTAAACCGTGGATATTTGTTTGTTTGTTGGTCAGCACAGGAAAGCGTTGTCTGCAGATGTTTCTAGAATGTCTGATTGACTGGAAGCTCGGTGAAGGTGAAGGCCGACTTGTTGCATGAGGATACTGTGGGTACTCTGCCGTATGATTGACAAGGAACAATTACGCGCCAGCGAAACTAATTTTATGAAGAACAAGTTCATCTGGCAAATTTACGTTTCGTGTTTATTCTGTAACAGATTTGTAAATGTTGTTAAGCCAGGTCACCCTGATAAACTGCCTTAAGCTTTACCGTGGATTATTAAGACTTCTCCAGCGACGAAAATCCAAAAGTAATCGCAGATTAATTTTGTATCCTGTTATCTGTAACTTTAATAAATGGTTTCGACTGTCGACTAATGCGTGCCTGAAAGTGTTTGTGTTTCCTCTAATCTAATGCGAGGTGAATGTGACTGTCCTTTTGACCGTATCATTTCAAGGTCATTTCAAAGGTCAGCTGTGCACTACCCTTAAATATACTGTGTGTTTGTATATGTATAATTTAGTCAGTAGTTTTATAACACAGTTTTAATTTTTCCGAATCCGTTAAAGCATCAGAAAGAAAGAAAAAAAAGAATAATACAAAATAAAATAATGATAATAATAATAATTTATGCATTAAAAGGTTCGTTTTTTGTTTTAAACTGTAGTATTGCAGAACTGTAGTGATCATAATATTAGGCTATCCTAAATTTAGACCTTTAGGTTTCTTGTAAGTTTACAAAACGTGCTTCTTAAAGCGCGTTGGTTGGTTTTTGAGCTCAGTTCGTGTGTAAATAGAGGTTCATATTTGCAGTGAGCACGATATTCATCCAATTAACTAATCCTGATGAACAAAGACGTCTCGTTACTTGTCTACGGGGCGCGAGATTAGGGCTTTTGTTTGCAGTTATTATTATGCCAACACCTGTAGTCTAGAAAAGATAATGTTTAAATCTTGCCTTGAAGCAATGCCTTTTTTTAAAATCGTTCCAAACGCATATTATTATAGCAACGAGGTTTTTTTCCTTTCTTTTTTTATTTAATACCCAATTAATCGCTAATGATAAATCTGCAGACATCACCGCCTTTTAACTGTACACATTAATCTTTAATGTAAGACAGTAGTGGTGTGCCCACTGGAGAGAAGGCCATTAAGCGCTAAACCCCAGGATAAACAGACAATTAGGCCAAGTGAATTAACTTGTTTGTGGCATTAATTACACGCTTTGTGCAAACAAAAAGCCTTGTGAAAGAATGTTATTTGGCTCAGGCCTAACAAGCCGATTTTGTTTCCTACTGACATTTTATCTTGCCTTTTAAACTGATAAAGAGGCGAAATAACTAATAATAATGACATGGAATACGCATTGTTGTAGGCTTATAAAACGTGTATTTAAACGTTAAAGTATCATGACGATTACAGACTGAAAAAAAGCTTAGATTCTTATGTAAAATAAATACACATTAAATTTTACAAATAAGTGCCAATGTTTCTGAGGATCGATTAATTCAAATATGTTATTGTGTCCTTTAGATGTAAAAAATTTTAATCCATTTATCATGTTAACGCCTTTTCAATCGCCTTTTCCTGGGGAAAAAAGTGCATATGCACTGACAACTGTCAAATACATTTTCAGATTTTTTTTATTTAAAAAAAAACTCCCAGTCCTTCTACGTTATATAAATGTTTGGTAAATAACGGCGGGTTATTTATCTGTTGGCTAGCTCGCAAACTTTCACACCCACGCGCGGAAGCATACTCGCAGTAATACAGCAATATTCCACCTATTAATCCTCCTACCGTCGAGTGAACTGGCGCACCATTCGCCTGCTTGAAAACATCCCGCAGCGAGTGGCCAGTTCTGATTGGAGCGATGATAAAACCCCGCGCTCGAAGCAAATGTGGAGAAGGGCAGCGCGCACTGGCTAATGACGGGCAAGCTTGACAGTGATTGGCAGGGCTGCCATGACAACCACAGCACGACATCAGGAAGACCAATAGAAAAGCGAAACAAAATGTTTCACCGTTGCACTCGAAGTTGATTAAGGGTAGATATTACGCGTTCGGTGGCACAACAGCGATAGCGGCGCAAACACGACGTCCGTATTGCCGTCTTTTCCCGTCTGTTTGTCTCTGTCCGATGACTCCATGGTTTTCAGGTCTCCTTTAGAGCTTTATCCCTCACATCTTTTCCTTCCCAATTTCGCGGATCGCCCTCTGCTTCTAGCGGGCAGCATTCCCAGAGCGAGATCCCCGGAGGACTTACCGATGTTTCAGTTGCCCACCCTAAACTTCTCGGCGGAACAGGTGGCCAGCGTGTGCGAGACGCTGGAGGAAACCGGAGACATCGAGAGACTCGGACGTTTCCTTTGGTCCTTGCCCGTGGCACCGGGAGCCTGCGATGCCATCAACAAGCACGAGTCCATCCAGCGAGCCCGAGCGGTGGTCGCGTATCACACTGGAAGCTTCCGTGAATTGTACCACATCCTGGAAAACCACAAGTTCACCAAAGACTCTCATGGAAAGCTGCAAGCGATGTGGCTCGAAGCGCACTACCAAGAAGCGGAGAAGCTGCGCGGTCGTCCCCTCGGACCCGTTGATAAATACCGGGTCCGCAAGAAGTTCCCTTTGCCACGGACCATCTGGGATGGCGAACAGAAGACGCACTGTTTCAAGGAACGGACTCGCGGCTTGTTGAGGGAGTGGTACCTACAGGATCCGTACCCCAATCCGAGCAAGAAAAGGGAACTGGCACAAGCCACTGGACTGACTCCTACTCAAGTGGGCAATTGGTTTAAAAATCGAAGGCAAAGAGACAGAGCGGCAGCTGCCAAAAACAGGTCAGTTTAATGGGTTGAACTGAATTCGGAGAAACTGAAATCAAACGAATACTTGCGAAGATATAAAGGCAATTTGTAAACATCAATAGACAGCTAATGCTGTCACACAATCTGCACGATGTGCTCGATCTTGATAGAAAGAAATCGAACAATATTATTATAATTTTTTTTTTAAACAACAAAGGCATTTTGCTATTGCTTTTGCATTTGCAGCATCAAAATTGCGGACAATTCCTTTAATTTAATTGTTAAAGCTTTAGAAAACGTGTTACTTGGCGTTTTGATAATGACTTAATGTGGAGTTCTTAGTTAATTAAGCAAATTGGAAGATAATCATGAGAGCACAACAGCAAAAATCTATTTGCAGTTTGGTTATGATAACTGATTTTATTTTTCCCCCCAAAAACAATTACACTTTTTTACCTTCTTTGTGATTAAAAATAACCCCATACATATATAATAACATATACGTGTTTTGAAAAATGAATATTTGACCGTGTATTTCCATATAGTTTTCTTTAATTGCAAAATAAATTTACCAAAAACAAACACATATATTTTTCATGTAGTGTAAACTGATATAGCCTAATGTAATCAAATATAAGCCTATACATAATGCCATTAAATATGGCTAGAGCTCATTATTTATAATTAGAAATATATTTCTATTTTTGATTAATAGAAATTGAGGTTTATGAAAAATATAAGCTTGTACATAAATATAAACATCCTTATATAAAAATCGACTTGAGTAACTAAATTGCTTTGTATTCTTTTTGGCGTGATCTCGCATTTAAAATCAGGTTTGTTAGTATTAGAGATACTGTAGCCCGTCGAATTCGAGCAAAAATGATGCATGTATAGTTGAATATTGTATTGCATAAATAATCGTATTTTCTGAATCCGTGTGTTTTTAGGCTCCAGCACCACGGACTGGGTCAAAGCGGCCTGCGGTCCATGTCGGAGTCCGGGTGCACACCGCACAGCTCGGCCGAGTCCCCTTGCGCGGCCGCCAGCCCCACCACCAGCGTCTCCAGTATGAATGAACGAGGCGACGGCGGGACCATTCTCTCAGTTACTGACAGTGACTCGGATTTCGATGTATGATGCACCGTCAGACAAATATGGAACATTTTTGCCCAGAGAAAAATGAACTTGTGAGAAATTGTGGGCAACATGGGGGCCGGCCATTTTGCCACCTTGTGTTATTCAAAAGGAGAAAAGCATGCTGTTTTTCCAGCGCTTCAACGGACTGACGCCCTTTCCTTTCATTTCCAATGCCTACACGACCATTTTGCATGTTCATTTGTGAATATTTTGCATTTTTAAAAGGCATTTATGAAGTGGAGTCTGAGAAAGTAGAACTCGATGCTCAATGAAATGAGTGAACCGGAGAGACAATTTTGTTATTTTGTGTTTATCAGACAATCGTTGAAGTCAAAAGCACCTTTATTCCCCCTCGTCTTTTACTCGACAGCAGATGTTCATACTAATTTTATCTCGAGATTTATATTGAATTGTCCATGTCTGATTCAAAGTTTTCCTTAGGTCTAGGCTTGTCTAGATATGCTTGTATGATATCGCAATTGCGCCACTCTCTTTCCTGCAAATGTCTTTATGTTGTGTCCATAAAGCGTGAGTAACTGTCTGTTAAGTGCTTGGAGATTTTAAGTGTCTATTCATTCTGCTCGTTTTTATACTGTAAATGGGTTAATGGCGCTGAAAACACAGTGTTATGGGTCACTTTTATGCAAATAAATATAATTTAATATAATGACTATCAGATTATTATTTATTTAATGAGTTGACATTGTTGCATTTTGTCCAAATAAGGGAAAATATATTTGCTGTTCTATGCATTAGTTTCTTGTTCGTTTTTATTTTCATTTTAGGAGTGTCTTAATCATTTAGATAGTGCGAACGTATTAAGTCCACGTTCAACAGAACTCAAGAGAGAGAGTCGAAGAGGTGTTGTTATTGCTTTCGTTCTTTTATTTCTTTCATTCTAAAAGTTCGTTCAATTTTAACTATCATTATTATCATTATTATTATTATTGAAGTAGTGGGATTGATCATTGGTGCAAACAAGTTTAAAATGAAAGGAATTCTATTTAGCCTATACATTTAAATAAAGGGAGAGTAGCTTACAGCTTTCTTGTTGCCAGTGCACATGTCTATGTATTTTCTTTTCCATATTGATAATTGATGAAAATGTTTTATGCTTCTGGCAAAGAGCAATAGAAAATATTCGTAAAACAGACAAAGTAAATTAATTAATACATGACAAAGCTTAGACTATTCTTTTTTAAATTAACTAATGTATTTTTTATTGATTTATTTTTTTAAGAAAAAAACACAAATTAAAATGAAAATACAAATAAAAAATAAAGAGAGAAAAGAAAACCGACCATCAAAGTCCGACGTGTTAGTTAGACGACAAAAGAGTCAACCAATTATGGTCATCAATCGTAAAAGCTTAGGTGACCATCTACACACCTTTAATTATTGCTCTTGTTACAGTAGAAATAAACGCAGATGAAACATTACTATTAAACACAAAACTGAACGTGCTTTTGGACATCTCAACTAACGTTGATATACGAAATAAAATACAGTTTTATTTTTTAATGTATCTTTTTATTTTAAGTACTAGTGGCTTATGTTAACCAGGTAATCAAAAACGTACTCACCGCAACGTGGAATTAAACTAGTGCCACCACATTACTTACACATTATTCCAAAGAGCTCACTGTAATCACCTCAGTTTTGAAACGTCATTTATCTGTCTAATAAGGCCATCATTCAGTTTCAGACTTCTCTCTTATTACCACCATAAGGCTAAATAACAAGAGGATGGTTTGTTTGTGGTGTCCTAATAGCATTCCATATAAGAGAAAGAATGTGTCGTTTACTGTGAGAGGATTTCTGTTCCCTCTTCTCCCCTTTGATTTGATCGCTTAACTGAGCACAACTTTTTATTCGTGTTTATTCAAGCGGCAGTTCCCCTTGACCTGGATTCATTGTGCTGCATTGAGCTACGCTATAAAATCACCTAAACGCGACGCGCCTCTTTAGCACACCAGAAGCGCAATTTAGTGCAATTTCAAAGCTACACTTAAGTTTAAACTTAACATGTTAATAGTGAAGTAAATGTAGTGAAAAAAATGACTAAATGTGATTGTTGCAGTGTTACATGTAGCTTAAGTCTACTTCGCATTTTCTGCTTAATTTGATAAATAGCCGATATTAAATTAATCAATTCATAAATTAACCAACGTGGAAAAATATTGCCAATTTGATTACAAATAATCAATCTGTGTAAATAAACGCGTTTCAGTAGCGTTTTTAAACAAGCAACCACTCAAGTCACAAGCTCTGCAACAAAAGTTTCTTTCGCCTGAGGATGCAACAGTACGCCGATCGAGCGACTTCCGTTTAGATCAATATCGTACGGTAAGTCTACAAAACATAAGTAGTACTTGTCATTATCACTTATTATAGATTTACATACAACTCATGTAAACACAAAAATTGAAGGGTTGTTTTAAAGATCTTAAAGGCCTGTCAGTCGGCTAACTGTGTTGGGGCCGGGGGCCCTACCAGAATTTTTGCACGTGACTGAGGAACCTCACGAAATTGAGGTTGAAAAACAAAATAGAATTTTATAATTCGCGCACTCATGAGAGAGAACGCTTGTAACAAGCCTTGTAATTTGCAACTGCATATGGGATCACGACCTCGGCGCACATTAGGCCTACTTGTCGGCGATATTGCATTTTGATTCTTATAAAACATTTCGTATCACTACTTATGTGACAGCTTTGCATTTACCTTTAAAAAATCTCTTGTGGTTAAGTCATTATTAAGCGGTGGTAAATGTTTGCTCGCTCAGTTCACCCCAAACATGTTTATTGCTGCACACGTGCTACAGCCATGACGCTTACACGGCTGACAAAGCTGTCACATAAAACAATTTTATTTAAGTGTGAATCTGAAAGCAACTGTTTGACTGAAATGTAAAGATTTAGGACAGGGGTGTCAGGCTCAGTTCATGGAGGGCCGCACAGCCCTGCAGAGTTTAGTTCCAACCCTGATCCAACACATGTACCAATCTAGTTTTCAAATAAGCCCGAAGGACCCGAGTAGCTGGATCAGGTGTGTTTAATTAGGGTTGGAGCTAAACTCTGCAGGGCTGTGGCCCTCCAGGAATTGAGTTTGACACTCCTGCTTTAGGAAGTGCGATAAATGTTTCATGAACTTTTCTTACAGTAAGGGACAAATTGGGAGTGGCCTCTTACTGTGGCCAGCCTTAGGCACACCTGTGCAATAATCATGCTGTCTAATCAGCATCTTGATATGCCACACCTGTGAGTTGGATGGATTATCT